TTGACCATTATCCATGTCTCTAATTCATACAGATATCATAGAACGAAGGGATAGTTGATTACTTATCTAAAGGTTGAATCTTGATTAGTTCAAGAGTTCGGTAGTTGCATTTGATGGCTAACTCTCTATTGATTATTGGAGAAATATTGGTCTATGTATAGTTTATGACTTGTCCAAGTGGGAGACTATTGAAAAAGTGTCTAAGGTCATTAACTATTGGTAATATTTCTAATAATATCAGGGTCCTTTTGGGTTGCCCTCAAGACCCAAATTGAGTAGAATAACTACAGGAGAAATTGGTTTATTAATTATTATGGTTAATAGTTAATTAGAAACTAATTGGAAATATATTTTGGGAATTAATTAGCAGTTTAATTAATTAAAAGGGTTGAATATTCATTAATCGATAGTTGGTTAATTAGGAATGTTCCAGAACCCTTATGGAATTAGGGTTGGATGAAAATCACTCCATCCCACATGGGAGAATGAGTAAATTTCGTGGTTAGGCTCCCATCCCACATGGAAAAGAGTACAAAACCTAAGAACAGATCCAAGGCTATAAATAGGGTCTTAGGGATTTCATTCTTCCTTGCACATTGGCTTGAAGTTTCACCAACCCTTCTTCCTACCCCGCTTAGGGACAATTTCTAACACTCTTTGGGTTTGTGAAATTGACCATTCTCCTAGTTATTTTATTTCACTCTTTGGTGTCATTAGGTGTGATACCATTAGAGGGATTCTAATTTGGGTCCTCTTATCTAAGCAACTTCATGGAGGATCGAGATCTCAAGCACGGAGATCAAGGGCTACATAAGAGGAATGTTTTCTTCCGTATGTTTATGTTTTCTAGGGTAGATGTAATTAGCATGAAACCATAGATCCATAGGTTGCATGTACACTTAGGTATATCGTAGTTTCGATTTTTTCGCTACCTAGTTTTAAGTGTATTTGATGCGTAGAAATCCCAACACAACCCACTAAACACTTGGAGGAAACTCACCTCAAACTGCTGAAATAACCAGATAAATGCTCGCACTGCTGATCTGGGAAACCTCTACACTAAATATCATCAAATAATACCCTAATTAATAATCAACACATAAACCATAATCGGGCGCCGCCCAATATGGCCCAAATTCCTAAATGATGCCCAAAGCCCATTATGGGCCCAAATCCAAGAAGGACCAAAGCCTAACAATAACCCAAAATCAGAAAGACTAGTGGTCTAACAAAGCGTAAAACCCAAGTAGTCCAAATATGGCCCAAATCTCAAAAGTCAACAAATGTTAATGGCTGTTGAGTATGCTCGACATACTCAGACTTACGCCCTGCGTACGGCCTCCTTGGCTAGTAAACGTTGCGTATGAGCTGGGTACGCACATCGTACTCTACAGCCAAACCAACTCACTATTAAGTGCTTAATCGGTTAAGCCATTAAGTCCAATTCTCAGATCTGATCCTAAATGATGTCTTAACATGTAAAGTTGGCAACTTTACTCCTTTGCATGTATTAATGGGACCCAATGCTCAATAAAACCAGTAATAAGAACCCTAACTCATGCATGGTTCAATATAACACACCAATATTGCATTTTTATGAAAAAGGGATCTCAAAAATGCTAAGATCCTACCATCCTTAGCTTCTGGAGTAGCTAATACTCTCATGCATGACTTAAAAGACCATAGAAAGCACAAAAACAAGCTCTAACTAGATCTATCAAAATGAACCATCAAGTTAAGAGCTTTATACCTAAAAACGCTTTCCAAGTTGGTGATGGTTTTGGATCCACAAGCTCTAGCCACACCAATGCAACTTCCAAGAGTTCTTCTTCCTTCATGATTACCAAAAACACCTTCAAAGTTTACTTCCAAGCTCAAAACACTCAAAAGACACTTAGGATTTTGTTCTTAAGGTTTGGAGAGGTGGAGGCTGGCCATAAGAAAGTCCATAAGCAACTTAAGGTGTTTAAATAGGGAACAAACCCTAAAAATTAGGGTTTTCCCCTGATGACCGTATGCCCCGCGTACCTCCACGTACGCCCCACGTACTTGGTTGCCTCCGCGACCAATCCAACGAGCCAGTACGCCCAACGTACTCCTAGAGTACGCCCAACGTACTCAGCTGGGGACCAAATTACAAGGGTTTTAAAATGAAGGGCTAAAAGGAAAAAAAATTACCAGAAATGAAAATGTTATAATTAATGTCCCGTCATTTCCGAATCATTGTCCCACACTCGTTTCACACCTCTCTTCCAAAAATAGTGGACATACAAGTACATTAGAATTACGACAAATATCTTTTGATTGTGATCCATTATGAACCTATTAATCAACAAAAGTAGAACTTTAAAGCAAAACATTAACCAAAATTCAAGTCAAAAACCATAACATTAACCAAAATTCATGTAGGAAAAAACATAACATTAACTAAAATTCAAGTAGCAAAAACATAATGTTAACTAAAATTCAAGTAGTAAATAACATAACATTAACCAAATTCAAGTAGCAAAAAATATAACCAAGTAGTTCCAACACAAACAATTAAACCTAAGCAAAACAAGCAATTAAACCAAAAGGACAATCTTTCCGTCCTTTACAACTCCTAAACTTGTAGCATTTATCTTGATACATCCTCTTAATATTTCGAGATCACTGGGCACATTTATCCACATCTCTCTCATATTAATGGTCCCTCCTTGGCCATTAAGTTAAAAGTGTTTGTTTGAGGATTGTAAAGGTTGCTAATTTTGTTTTTCAAATATAGGCATCCTATGTATTTGGCTTTAATATTTTCATAAGAGTTTTTCAATTGCCTTTGAGTCAAAACCACACCATACTTTTCCTTAATAACTCTTCCTAACTTGTTCCATGAGTCTTTGTGCAAACTTAGTTCTTTTCTACCCACATTGTTTACTTCTTCAATGCAAGTTTGCAATAAGCATTGTATCTGGTCATTGGTCCATATATGTTTATATCACATTGCTAATAACAAAAAACATATGGAATTCATATTTTAGCAAACATAACCTAATAACAAGAACTTTCAACATAACAAGAACATCAATTGATAAAATTAACGAACTTTAGCAAAGATTAATGATATTTCAGCATAACAAGAACTTTAATTGATGAAATTAATCTATAATCTATGAAATTTCAGCAACATTAGCATACAAGCAAATCAACATAACAAAAATCATACAAATCTATGACATTCATCAAATAAGAAAATCAATCGATTTCAACAATTTCAACAAGAACTTCAATTGATTTCATCAAATTAGCAAGAACTTCAATCGATTTAAGAAAATTAAAAACAATTTCAACAAGAACTTCAATCTATGACATTCATCAAATCAGAAAATTGATTTCAGCAAGCGTATTGCATTTTAGCAAATCAGAAAAATCATTTCAACAAATCATAAAACAAAAAATTGATTTGATAAATTAGCATAACAAAAATCGATTTTAGGATATGTAAAAAGAAAGGGTCTTATCGATGCTTCACAAAGGTTGTATTGGTGGGATGACGGAGAAAGAAGGGTTGAGGCAGACGAGGCGACAACGTTGTGAGACTGCAACAAGAAATTAGGTTGCGACAACGAGAGTTCATGCGGCCTAGATGAGACAATATCATATGGAAGAATGAAGAAGATGGAAGCAACGTATGCTGATATGTCCGTTTTTTAGGTTTAGAAGCATTAAGAAGTGGTTTGAAAATGCAAGTCCAATGATATATGGTACAGAACACACATATAAGTTTTTAAGTAAGAAAAACTTTTAAAAAACAAACAGCTGTGAAATGACAAGTGTTGCGCAACGCAACTAAAAGTGGTCAGAAGTAATTATTTTTTAAAAAAAATTTTAAAAATTAAATAGCCTCATAGTCCATAAATAAAATTCCAAAACAAAGGGGAGTTTTTTTTTACCATATTGAAAAAATATTTACCAATCTGGTTTGAAAAATATTTATGAAACTAGTTTTTTTTTCCTCTATTTTTTCAGTTTTCCTTAATATGTTTTTATTTTAAATATATATATTTTTATTATTTAAGTTTTTTATTGTCTTTTTTTAATATTAGTTTTTTATTTTCTTTATTTCAATTTCTTTTATATTTTTTTAATTTACATTAAACATAGATGCTTTGATGTTATTTGTATAAATTATACAAACCATTTTAAATAATGAATTTTAGTCATCTTAAATTAAAACTATCATTAAACATATAATGTTTTTTAAGATGCAAAAACTCCAACATTAAACATATAATATTGTTTAGGTAAAAAAGTCCAATATTATCTATTACAAAAAAATAATAATAAAAAAAATAAAAAAAATAAAATAATTCAAAAAAAATTATACTCTTCTCATATAATTTCTTACATTTATTCACCGGTATCTATATTTCTTGAGGTATTATTTTTGTCGGCATGGCTTTTACGTTCTGATAACGAATCTAAGAATTTGGACATAATTTACTATATACACTAGACAATTTCCATCATATATTAATTGTAAAGTTTTTGAGTTTGCTTTAAACAAAGTTGTTGATAATTTTTTTTTTTTAACGAACAATTGTTGGTGGGTTTTACCTTAAAAACACTTAATGTTTAATGTTGGAGTTTTTGCACCTAAAAAAATATATGTGTAATGGTAGTTTTAATTTAAGATGGTTAATATTTGATGTTCAAAATGGTTATAATTTGTATAAATAACATCAAAGCAACTATTTTAAACGTATATTAAAAAAATAGAAAAAAAAAACTGAAATAAATAAACTAAAAACCTGATTTAAAATAAAAGACAATAAAAAACTGAAATAATAATAATAATAATAATAATAATAATAATAATAATAATAATAATAATATAAAATGACAGTAAGAAAAACTGAAAATATGGGGAACATGAGAAAAAAAATATTAATTTGGAAAAAAACTGATATTCTTTTTTTGACACTTGTAAAAAGTTAAAACACAGCAATAAGCAATCAAGTATTGGTCAGGAAAAATCAAAGTAGCAGACTTTAAGATGAAAAATGGGACCATTTTGAGTTTTTGACACGTCCCTTTTATAGTCCCACCCAACCCAACCCAACCCACAGGCATCTCTTCAAAGATGTACAACCTTTATTACACATGGCCAGTTATTCACCACCACTAACATGCGCCCCACAATATGTGGGGCTCACATTCAAAATGTGTGGGCCCACGAATCAAATGCTTAGTCAAGATCTATTTACAACCACATCATCGAACTCTCGTGAACAACATTGTATAAGATCAGAGTTAATTTATTGAGATCATACACATCAATTGTGTACAGAGGCTGACATCAGGATCAACATCAATGACAGCCGTTGATTTTGGGAGGAACGGTTGAGATCCCTTGTTTGGAGAGCTCTGATATGACACTTTCAGTAGATGGAGGTTTGAGGCCCAAAGGCAATGGCAGCCATGGCTTATTTATTGCTTCCTTCACCACCTTGTCAATGACTTCATCTCCCTACAATAATTATAGTACTTCCATATGTCACAACAATGCAATACACTGACAAAAAATGGAATATGAATATGAAAAAATTATAATCCTCATTCTCAATATGAGAAATGTACTTTGTTTTGTTTTTTTTTTTTTTTACCAATAATAGCAAAGTAATTAATTATATTTGTTACCCATAACAAAAATATAGCTTCTGTTACTGTTATACTCATAAGAAACAACTATTTATATTTTTACCAATAGTCACAAGCTACTACTCACATTTCATGCAGGGAAATGCAGTTTATTTGTTATATATATTGCTATTATCGGTTAGGAAATGTAAATATATTCTCATTATGGGTAAGGAATTGTAAATATCTCATGATTACGTGTATTAGAAATCTATGTACACTGCCATGGGGGCGTTGAGGGGGACAAAGTGGGCAGCTGTACAGGGCACAAATTTTTTTATTATATATTATATATATTTTTTATTTAAAATTAAAAAATTATAATAACGATAAAGACTATTTTTTTCTTGTTTGTCCTGGGCCTTTGAGAATATTTAATTCTTCAGGACCGGCCATGTACACTGCAATTATGAGTTACGATATTCAATAAAAAATTATAAATTGCTATTATGGGTGAATAAATGTTCTTACATTTCTATTATAGGTCAAAAAAACTAGGTACATTACCTTTATTAGTAAAAAAAGTAAAACATGTTATTTCTCGCAATTTGTGCTATATATAACACTTAAGACTAACCCTAAATCACTCATAGTTAAATAACACTTAGAAAAAGTTACAAAAACAAGCTTAGAAAAAGTTATAACTTATTTAGTTTAAGGGGGTAAGGTGCCTAATCCCAATGGATCGGAAGCAACGACTTTTGACTTTTATGTTTAAATTTTGAGGTCAAACAAAGACACCATATTTCAAGGTTGATGATTATGTTATAATTTTTTGGGGTTATGAAGTAAACTGTAGTAAAAAGAAAGGATCAATATGAATTTTTAACTCCAGAAGTTGTGTTTCACCTCAAAAATTCTAACCATGACTTACGGATAATAATATCATTCTAGTATGTGACATTTGTAATGAGGTTTAACTTAGCAATCAATATTTTCCTCCAAAGCTGAAAAATCTATGGTATTCTTGACTTGAGAAGTATTTTTATAACCATAAAAGTCAAACCCTATAAAGATATGGTGAATGTAAATACCGGATAATGGTCAAATGAATTATTTGGCATGGTTCGGTTACTCTGAAATTGTGAAACATTCTGCAAAATCGTTGATAAGTACATATTTTGTTAATTCAATGCAAACAATGAAAAAATGGTTAAATGTAAGAAATGGCAAAGTACTTTCATTGATTTGTTTATTATAACTTTCAATAAAATATAGCAATATCATCAAAATACGAAACAATTTTGACTGCTATAATTAGGTTAGAGTTTTCAAATGGTAGTAGGGGATAAGAAAAAAATGAAGTAATTTAAAGAAATTAAACTAGGATGCTATAATACACAAATAAAAGTACAATGTTATTTCTTGCATTTACCCCATTAGAAAAAGCGTACTTACTTGAGGGAAAGATGGGTGAGATGGGATGGTTGGGCAGCCCCAAGTTTCGGCTTGTGTCTGGAACAAGACAAAGACACACCCAAAATCAACTCCTAAAGTTCAATAGACTTACAGAAGAATGACAAAAATGATATATTAGTATCGAATGACGAGTTTACCTCTGGATAGGGATTCCACAACCAACTTACAGAAGAATGCCATGCTGGATAATATGATGGGCCCCACGTCTGAGGTGGAGGAGGGTAGCTGTGTGGAGGTGGCCAAGTAGGATATACTTGGTTAGAATGATATGGAGGAGGGTAGGCCATAATGGGCTTTTGTGGATAGTAGTTTCTTGGTGTTGAATGGTGTCTAGTTTGAGGCCATTTTCGGCCACTTTCCTTGGGCAAAATATGTCTTCGTTGTAATCTATATTTCTGCTTCAATTATAACGAAAATATATGTTTAGTTTTAGATAAAAACAATCATGGAAGTAGATATAGGATATAGGATTGGACAAGCTTTCTAGGGCTATTTGAGACGATGAAGATGAGAAGGGCATTCACATCTTTTTCACAAACAAAAGATCAAGAGCGATTCCGTGTCCCACCATTTTGGGAAAAACTACAATTATCCACAATGCATGCCAAATGCAGTACAACCTGTCATATCATGTGTAAGAAACATATGTTTTTTCTAACCTGGAGATGACTTGCGACATTATGCCTTGTTAAACCCTCTACTTTCATAAGTTCTAATATACGTGAAGGTATGGCTTGATCAACACCAAGTTGCTCCACGGCTTGTACGAATTTCTTGTGTAGTTCACTACTCCAATCTACCTGAAATACTCACCCTATTTAAAATCACAAACAATAGAATCACACAAATGTAATCATGGTGCACCAATGCATGTTGGCTCCTACACAATGGATTTTCTACAAGTATATGAAACACAATTTACATCATACATAACATACAAGTATGTATAAGGAAGATGCACAATGTGCCTCATACATATAGGTATGAGCATAACGTGCCTCATACATAATGTATGAGGCACAATGATTTTAAGATTAATCAAAAAAGCATATCAATCATCATCTTTACCTTGACCTTTCTTCGACCAGATTTACTAGAACGTGAAATTGGATGCTTGGATACTTCGTTTTGCTTCTTACCATCAATTGGATCGGGGCAACATTCATTACTTGAAGGCTTGTTGATTCCCTCTTCCAAACTCTTGGAGAAGTTTGTCTCCATAACATTATCAACAACTAAATGATCATCACAAGTAATTTCGACGAATTTGGACTCACCATCATGTTCTACAAACTCTTTCTCAGTTGAGAGATTAGTTTGATCTTCATTATCAACATGCCTCATTCCTTGCTTCAACTGTGGGGTCGATGGAGCAGGATACTTATCACTTTCAACTGACACCTCCTCATTGTGTTCTTTATTTTGAATGATTTCTTGCTTTATACCTACTTTTTCCAAAAGAATCAAAGCTTCCTCGGATTTCAACAGTTCATTTTCATCCTTAGGTCCTGCATTGAAAGCCTGCTTGAAGTTTTCACAATCCCATTATCAAAAAATAGGTGAAAGGTATTGAATATATTAGTTCACTATAGAAATTAAAATTACTAACCTTGTGAGCCACATGTTGCCATATGTTTCGGAGTTTATCTTCGGACAATGGTTTCTCAAGGAACTCGACTGCACCAAGCTAGAAAACAAAGCACAGGATTGGGATCATTGACACTTTTTTATTAAAACGCTTTTCATATTGTTTCCTTTCGACTTAAAGGGGATAAGATTTATTGTGTAAGTATATATGATTTAATATGCTAAGCATATATGGGTGTTTTTTGACTTAATACATAAAGAATGACTTAGATAGTCCGGAAAAAAAGATGCTTTTTCACTTTGTCGTAGTTTAAGAAATTTGTTCACATTAATATTTATTTTTGTTATTTTTCTCAAATGTATTTTAAACTTTAGTTTTCAAGATGATACTTAATAGGGAAAAAACAGAAAAGTTGCCTAAGACTAGTTGGGTATTAAAAATATAACTAAATGCAAGAAATAGTAATATGCTTTCATATATTTGTTCATTGTAGCATTGTATTTTAATTTTTTTCCCATTACAACATTAAATTCTCAAAAAAAATTCTTATTGGATTTTGAAAAAAATTTACTAAATATAGCATTGTACTTTCACTATTTTTTTTATTAGGACATTGTACTTTGAAAAATCTACCTAGCTATAGCAAGAAAAATTGCATTATATTTAGATGACATTGGTAGATTATTTATAGTGCAATGCTCAGTACAATGCAGTAATCAACAAATATATGGAAGTATTTTTCTTTTTATTGCATTTAACCTTTAAAAACAATCTTGTGTTGAATAAAACTTACTGCTATGCACTTCATCATGGTACTGATGCAATTCACATCTGAAGTCACTACAATCAAAACCGAAAGAATCTCAATTTATGTTCGTATAAAAGATTTATCATAATACAAATTTAGATTAGTGGTTCACGAGGCATACTGATTGTAGGCAAGTCTTTCGCCCTTTCAAGAAACTTAAACCTTCCATCTTCGTTACCTGCTCTCACCTGTCACAAAATGTAAAAATACATAAGACACTTCAAACTGTATCCAATAAATGAAGAACAGGCTCAAAAGGTACCACTTTGTAACACCCATATCTGGAAAATATTAATTTTCGAAAACTTAGCACCATCAATATACATGTCGTCAAAAAGTACATCAAATTCAAAAAAACTTAATACCTCTACTATAGCTACATGGAAGCCTTTAGATTTGTCTGAAATCGCCGACAATGCATCATTCTCACTATAGAAAGCAGAAACTGTACACCTTAATGCCAAAGTTAGATAACCTCCAACGTATACGGTGAATATATGCGATAATAAAGAGCTTATAAGGAATTGTGACTAATTTTCCCTTGTAGTCATAAAAGATTTAAAGGTATACAATAACAGATAAACAAAATGTTTCACTTTTATTAAACAGAATCACAGTGTAGCAACATATGGTTCGAAATTGTTTGTTTATTGATTTACCATACATATAGATATTAAACAGGATCACAACGTTAAACATGATCCTATTTGAAAGATAATATTTCAACTGTTTATGTAAATATACTTATAGTTTATTTAATAAACTAAACTTGATATCTAAATATGCATGTGGTAATGTGACAAAACTAAGAGAATTTAATCAAACTGATAAAATGAATTGGCGATATGCTTGTGGCAACGGAAAGCAAAATGGGGCCTTATTAAAATAATATATAATTAAAGACCTAGCGTGTCGAATTTAATTTTGGCTAGGATTAGGGTTCCTAATGTATTGCCTAATAATCCATAGAATTTAATATGTCTGATTAGTAATTTAACTTTTATGTGAAATAGGTTATAATGAGATGGACAAGTGGCAATAACTTGATTCATTTATTAAAATAGCTAGAGGTATTATTTGTTTAAGTAAATAGATTTACTTCAAAACTCATAAAATAATTTTATACTTTCTTTCTCAATCTTATAACAAACACGGTAGTGCCTCATATGAGAGTATATACAATCTATAACATATTATATACGAATTAAAATGAATATGACTGGAACGAGAAGATTTTTTTTTTCTTAAAGTTTTCTTGCACAGCATGACTAATAAAATCTCAAGAACAGAAATTATAACAAAGTAAAGAACTTCAACTAAACATGTGCAAAAGCCATGCACAATAAATAAATTCGCAACTAAATAAATCAAAAACAATTTGGAGTTAAAGTAACTAACCAACATAATCCATTTCTTCAAGTTTTGATTTTATTACATTTGCAGAATTGATATCTTCATCAAGGAGCAAAACTCTAAGACCCTTCGGAAAATCTTTCCACCCTAATAAATCATTTGCAGTGCAAACCATAGCTGTCTGGCATCGTTTATATCATCAGATCTCGCTACTCGTCATCATTTTCTCATTTATAAACTCTGCATAAAAATTCACATCGATGTTAATTTCATCAGTCTTGGATCCGCATAACATAATGCATGTTTTAGAATCTTGATGGGTAGATCAGTGATCAGATATATTAGTGTTGAAGATATGGACCTCATTCGAGCGAAGTAATAATTGATCTGATGATAGAATAATAATATATATAACATATATTTTAATTGATAAAAATTGCAAAATCTATACAGCAAATGATTTCCTCATAATAGCTTTCCTCACCTGAGAATTCATAATTGAAGACATCTTGTTTATCATAAGTACGCATAGCCATAGATATAAAAAAAAATACTCATAAAGTAGATTCACTTTTAACAATGACTCAAAGTATTAAAAAAAAGCATATAATATTTGTAGGTCATAACCCATGATGCAAATCACATGTCGATTATTCACACACACTGACGGAATACAAAACACATAGAAGTTCTTGCATCTTATATTTTTTAACATAAGTACAATCTTCCGTTGAAAGATGAATCATGAAATCAAGAAAAGATTCTATTTATGTGAGCATCTAATATGTGTTTGGAATGAAGATTCAGTGTGGCAAAACAACAACAGATGGAATTTGTCAAGAAAGATTCGACGATTAGCTTAAAAAAGAAAGGTTTAGAGGTCAGAGGAAGAACACAAAAGGGTAAGTAAATATACAGTAAAAACGCTGACAAATGAATGCAAGTTTAAAGGGAGAGAAAAGCGGAAATTAAACTTACACTTGATTCGTCGAATGAAGTAAATATAGAAGTGAATCCAGTTGAAGAAAAAACATGAACAAGAAAAGGAGATATATATTTAGGATCTTTACTAAAAGGATTAAAGAAAAACTATGGGCGCTACTGTTATGCCTTTCCTTGTGTTAGAGAGAGAGAGAGAGAGAGAGAGAGAGAGAGAGAGAGATATGATCAGTATATGCAGAAAAAGAAGGAAAAAAGTTCTGCACTAATTGGTCATGAACATCTATCATTGTTCCAACCACCATATTTAGATATGTTTGTCCAAGATTTTGATTTTGTTTTTTATTGATAGTCTATTACAAACATCAACTTATTTGACATTGTTTTATCCATACGAAGTATTTTTTTCAGCTGTTACTGATTTTATTAAACAAACTATAAAACACTCTTAAAGTTGTAAACAAATACAATTTATTGTGTAAAAGGAACCAACTTATGCTTTATATCGTTTGGTCCTATATGTTTTGAAATATTATTACAAGATTATATGTGATTTACATATTACATTTTTCGCCAAAGTTTTAAACTTTATTAAAAATCAAAATTTTGTTACACTCTAAAATCATTATTACATCCGCATTACTAACGATAAATCTAAATCCACAGGAACACAAAATACATATCAAATAACAATTTGGTATTGAGGTCCCTAATTTCGTAGTGGGACTTCTACGAAACCTAATGATATATAACGATAGCTACTTTCACAAATAAGAATTTCATAATGGAATTCATATTTTTGTAACGACCACATTACAAATATAATTATTGGGATATTTTATGTCGAATCATAAGCTACAGCAGCTAGATTTGTGTTTTTGTCATGTATCAATTGGTTTAAGTAGAAACGTGAATTAATAATTTAGTGTTTGTTTTTTAGTTGATATCTTTAACTTAGATAAGGTACCGAGGACAAGTCAAGGACTTGTTGTCATAGACAAAGACACTACGAACTTACAGCAGCGACTTTTAAGCTATATGCATCTTTAAAAAATAACAATGTTAAAAAGGTAATTAAATCCTATTTCAAAAATAGAGACTTGTAATCGAGAGGAAGCCATCTATCACAACAAGGGAAAGACACCTACGTGCCACTATATTTACCACAATTTCCAAAGGACTTTTTCTTTGTCATCTTCCAAATTCAAAAGATTCCCATCAAATTTTTTTATCACTTATCATTTTAAGATTATTTGAGAAAGAAGATGTAATTATTGCACCACTTATTTAATAATAAAAATATTACTATTTTTTTTTTTTGTATTTTCGTATAAATATAAGTGGTGTTTATCTATTGTAATTATTCGAACTCTAATTGAGTTTTTCTTTTTTGTGTTTAGTATCAGCGTATTTATACATATAAATAACATTGTTTGTTGTTTATTATGTAAAATTGTACGAGATAATCCACCAAGGTTGGACTTGGTATGAGGCCGAGACTGCAACTCATTTATTATTACAAAATATAATACTTCCTAAAGATACTGATAAACATATATTTCAGATAATCTCCACCAAGGGTTGGATTTAGTCTGAGGTGATCTCTCCAACCATGCTCATCTCAAATTTGTTAGCCATGATGATTCCAAATTCGTCACACAATTCTCATTTGTAGAACCAAAAATTATGTCATCAACATACATTTGAGCAAGAATTGGATCAGTGACGGTCCTTAGTCCTTATGAATAACAATGTGCTATCAATTGCTCCCCTTTTATAACAATTATTAACCAAGTAAGTAGACAGAAGTGACATCCCCAATTTTCAGAAACGAAAAAAAAATCTTTACGTTTTTAAAATTCATAACATCTTTATTTGCGAAAAATCTCAGTATATTAGAACGTTTGAGTACAAATGCTTGTCTCAAAATAATAAAAATTCTAGGGATGTGATAATCAATACACAACATATGTTACAGTGTAAAAACCTAACGGGCCTGAACATTATTGCAGGTCTTCTCTTCGATCACTCAGCATCCTAATCAAGTCTTCAACAATTTTAACACCGCTACCTGTGATGAATATAAATTGAGTGAGTCAAGTTGGTAAACCTTGTGAGATACATAGAGTTTTCAATTCCACAATTTTATTATGATAATAAATCGTATATCTCAAACTTGCAAAACTAACTGTCATCAACAACACAAATATATCATATCTATAAGACAATCTATCCCATCCCGTCGATCCTCACATACTAATCCTGATAGATCACTAAAAGCAACAAATTGACTATTTAGTCGGTGGTCGTCATCTCAAATCTTGAAATGACCCGTTTCACCACATCCGTAGCAAACCTGACTCACCCCGACATTAGCGGCTTGGGTGGTTTGTTGTGCAGGTGCCTTACAGAAACGGGCGGTGTGCCCCCTTCCTATTGCAATTATTGCAGTGCATCTCTCGGCAGGCTCCATAGTGATGAAAGTTGTACTTTTTGCATTTTGGGAGAGTTCCAACATATTGTTTGGCGGGTGCTGGAGCGGCAGGAACAGTAGCAGCGTGGACTACCACAGTTTGTTGCTTCTTTGTGGGATCTTGTGTCGGTTGGACCTTCTTTTTGTTCCAGAACTTTCTTTTTTTGTTGTCTCCCCCTTTTGCTTGTTCGGGGGTGGCCGTTATAACGCCTTGGCAGACTCCATGATCCATAAGTGTTTGTACCAAACGTTTGGCACTGTCAAAAGTGGTCGGGTTTGCATATATCACATTTCCTTGAATCTGGGGGGATAGTCCCCAGATGTATCGCTCCACCTTTTTACTGTCCGGGGTGACCATCCTGGGACATAGTACTGTTAGATCGCTAAATATGGTAGTGTAGGTTGCGATGTCGGAGCCCTTCATTGTAAGGTTCTAGAGCTCTTGCTCTAGCTTTTGTACTTCACCCCTCGGGGAGTATTCTGATAGCATCAAAATCTTCAAGTCTTCCCAGCTCATGGCGTTGGCCATTAGGAGAGTCAGCGATTTGACATAGTCGTCCACCAGGAGAGGGTTCTATCCATGCATGTGCAGGCTGCAAATTTCACATTGCTAGCTTTTGGGCATGCGTAAATTTCGAACACTGACTCTGTTTTCTCGAACCACCTCGTTAGAGCAATGACACCTTCGCTGCCATCGAAAGACTTTGGTTTGCCATTTGTGAAGTCTTTGTAGGAACATTCCCTCGGGTGTCCCTGACTATCTCCCTGGTTAGTATTATTGGTACCGCCTCCAGTCCTACTGGTACCATTTGTGCTGATTTGCGCCATGGCGGATGCCACAGCGGCTGTTACATCAGCTTGGAAAACGGCAGTGTCCATCTGTGGAGGTGATGACGGTGGTGGTGTTGGTGTTGTGTTGTTGACACGCCTGATAGATTTGCGTGGTGGCATAATTCTGCCATAAAGTTTAAAAGTGGATTGATGATAAGTCTTTGATAATGGTCATGAATCGAGTATTATCGAAACAGAGTGTCTTAACTATTTAGTTATGTTGACTGCGCAAGAATAACGGTATAAAGACACATGAATAGTTTAGTTGTATGGTTCTATAGTATCATAAAATACTCCTATAGTATTTTAAACTTGGTGTTTGATTCTTAATGTTTCTTGGTATATAGGGTTGGTAAGTTTTAGACTCGTTGTTCACAACGATCATTCCCAAACACATGTTGATCAGGCTATATGCATCCCAGATATGATTACATAACTATCTAGGCTTAACCGCAACGTCCAACTTATCTAAATACTTTTATATGGTTCTTATTTCGACACTATTCTAGTATGCATCCATTTACGTATACTTTTATAAAAATACTTATATCTTAAAAGTATACTTTTAGTCAAAGCGTTTTAGCCCCCATTGTATTTATTGTAACATCCGGTTTCGGATTATCCATGATTAAGGTTCATGGGCCGCGAGTCGGGGGCTAGGAGGTCTCGAGTTGAGGCGAGTTGCTAGAAGCGTAGGGCATCTCATTACCTTTCCGTAGGTATGAGGATTTTTGGGATTCGAGTCATTTCGAAGATGCGATGGAAGTTTGGGAGAGTTGGCAAGATAAGTCCCTAAGTGAGGATTTTGGCAGCGAAGTACGCTGGGCGTACGTATGCGTACGCTTAGCGTACAGGTACGCGTGTTTCTTAAGCAAGAGCCACCTAGTACGCTGGGCGTACCAGGGGAGGTACGCCGGGCGTACTACGCACAAAAGGAAACCCTAATTAAGTGAAGTGCCCCTATATAAAGAAAGAGATGGTCTCATTTCTGGCCACCTTCCTCAGTTATTAAACCCTCTCAAACCCTAATATCCGTTCTTGAGCTTGTGAGTGGCCATGATGAGCTTGTTTGTGTTCTTGTGGGCTTTTGGGAGTTAAGAAGGAGCATGGAAGGGAGTGAAGTTGAAGATTAGGCTGTGGATCTGAGCTTTCTTGGGGCTAGGGCACCATTTGAAGGTATAAAGCTCCAAGCTTTCCTTCTCTTTTTGTTTTGTGCATTTTAGGGTCCATTTTAGGGTTTTTGGTCCCAAGCTTGAGGCTTTATGAGTTGATGCACTCCAGAGCTTAATAACCTGTCCTTTTAAGTGTTTCTAGTGGTGGAGAACCATAAAAATAAGGCCTCGATCGTGTGAATCTACCCATGCATGAGTTATGAGCATTTTGGGTTAAGAAAGTAAGAGTTTTATGTGTTGTGACCTTATCAGCCATGCAAAGGCTTAAAGTTGTTAACTTTATGGAGTAAGAGATGTTAGGAAGTCTAGATCCAAGAGTTGAGCTGTTAAGACCTAGAAAATGGATTAAGCAAGTCTGAAGGTACGCGTCGCGTAATTCCAGTACGCCCCGCGTACTGGGTTGAGGTCCCCGATCAATTTCTTGAGTGTTTGGGTAAGCCGAACGTACCAGGGGGGGTACGCCCTGCGTAAACTCCTTCTGGGGGTTTTTGGGCTAAGCATTGTGTTGGGCCTTGAGTGTTGGGTCGGGAGTTTGGACCTCATGTAATAGAGTCTTGGACTAGAGAAGTGTATGTATGTACTTTGGGCCTTTGGTTTGGACTTGCTTGTTTGGTTGGGAACTGGGCCGTGTGAGGGCCCAATTATTATTGGGCTTTGGTGGGCCCAATGGGCTTAGGGCATAAATGGGCTGTTAGGTGGTCTGTCTATAGACCCAA